TACCTTAAAAATATTTCTATTTCTTGTTTTTCTTCATTAGATTTACTGACAAATTGTAACATGTACTAAATTCGATATAGTCCATACTATAGGATATATGTTTTTTTTACCAATTATGCAAAGTTTCTTTTACAGTTTGATAACACATACTAATCTCACTGTGCTTACAATTTTCAGGCATTCCAACTCCGTAGCTATGTAATAATGGTAAATATTTTTGAAAATTAAAATTTATCTCTTTCAAAAATTAACAGTAAGCTCACTGGCATAATCATATAAGTAAATATATAAATATTCTTAACAAAATCTGATACTGCTAAAACATTAATCCCAAGCTCTGAAACCTGTAGTTATAATGTCACAATTATATTTATGTACTAAATAATATTTTTATTTTGTCATATAAGGAATATAGTATATTCATTTTGTCTGGTTCAATTTATAAATATTTTTCAATTCCAGGTATTATTATATTTAATGCATTTTTTCTGATATAATTACGTTACTACATTTGTGTTTGTCTTCCTTTTTAGTTATTATTATTTATCTATCTAAATTTATGATACATTGTGAGCAGAAGATTTAATTTTATTATATTTATTTTATTTATTAAGTGAAATAATTTCTTCATTATATAATTATACGTGTTAACTATTTTTATTATATATTTTTTTATAGTATTTTTGTCATATTAATTACTATATCAACATTTATTTATAAAATGTAATCATTTTAATTTTTTTTTTAATATATTATTTTCTCATTAATTATATATAATAAAAATTTATTTTTTTTCACACATAAATTTAAATAAATATTGGTAATATATATTTTTTTATCATATTTACTTACAACTACATAATTTTATCATCTAATGTTTATATAACCATGCTCATAGATTATTATTTTATTGGTTTCATCATAAATCCTGAATTTTCACCTCTTTGTCGGTGTTATTCATTGCATATACTTTATTTATTGCTTATTATAACAAAATTCTTAGGAACATTTTTGATAATTTTACAATAATATTTATATTTGATGATACATATAAGTATTCATTTTACATGAAGAATCAAATGCATGCCTTATAATTTTATTTTATATATTATTGTTTAATTAATTCACTAATATTATGCGCACACAAGGATTATTATACTTAAATGTAAGCTATTTTATACTGATTATGATTTCTATTTTTATATGTTTCTTCAGATGATGTCATTGCATCGTTATGATTTACACTTTTTATATTCAACAATTTCCTTAATTTCTTCACCCTCCGTCGTATTAATGAGGCATTGCGCGTATACTGATAAAAAGAGAAAATTAATATAATTTTACACGTATATTACTAATTTTATATTATTGTTAAAAAATATTGTGTAAAATGAATAATGTTATAATATATATTATCTAAATTAAAACAATATATATAACCTTATATATAATGAACGTCATTATTAAAATTGCTGAAGAGAAAACAACAATTCCTACCCATTTTCCCATTGATAAGCCTGAGTGCTTTATTTGGATTGTTTCTATCACTATGTTATCATTATTTTCATTTTTTATCGGAGATATTGCAGGCAGAGTTTCTTTAGACCGAGGTTCTTCAGACAGAGGTTTTTCAGGAACAGGTGTTTGAGTAACAGATATTTCAGTCAGAGATATTTTATTAACACATAAATTATTTTCCAGAATGCTTCTATTATATCTCCTTATTAAATGATTTAGTAAAGTAGCAATATCATTCTTCTCGGGTACAAATTCTCTTAATTTTTTCTCATATTCCATAAATTTTTGATCATAGTATGAGCATATATTTCCCCTTTCTAGCAATGTTAGAGCATAATATAGTTGATCAAAATACATATATATGTTAAATGTGCTATCTTCAAGACATGTAACCTCATTATCACATGTATCAAGGAAACTATTTTCAATTGTAGTGATGTTGTCTCTATATTGTTTCATTTCAATGTAACCTTTTGCTGGGTCATTATATTTACATTTATATTTCTTTAACATGTCTTGTAACTTGTAATTGAAATATTTACAAGCTAATTTTTTATAATCATCATTAGATCCATTTTTATTTTTTATATGGTATAAATAAAAAACAAGACCCTTACAAATAGTAATTAAATTAGCATAATTAATTTCTTTATTACATGCATTATTCTCAATAAAACTATTACAGAGATTAAAAGGTTCACTTCCCATTTCTTTTAAATTATTCGAATCAGATATGGTTATATTGAAATCATCTCTACATTGGGGGAATATTTTATCAAAAGTAATCTATAAGTTAAAATTGCATGTTTTCAAATATATTAAAATAAAATTTTTAATAATATATAAATTTATTAATTTACAAAAAGAAATGTATTTAAATGAATACATAGAATAAATTTTATCTATATTATTACGAATATAAAATTACATTTTCATAACTGATAGTTTCAGACATTATGCTTTATTTGTATGATTTAACAATTGAATAAGTTATACATATCTTATAAAAGAATTTACTATGTTAATGAATTAAAAATTGATGTTATTTTTACATCAAATATACTAAATATTATAAGGTTCTATGTGATATGATTTTTTTTGAGATATATAGTTTTACTATCTTTACATGCATAAAAAACAATCTATAGATTATTAATATCTCATTGATGATATTACAATACAAGTGTAAAATAAGATAAATGGAATTATTTCATTAAGGCTATCATTTAGTTTAATGTTTTATAGTGTTTTATAATATCAAATTAATTTTAATTGTATTTGAATTAAACGAATTTTATAAATATTCATTTATTTTATACTTACATACTTTTAGTTTGTATAAATAAAATAAATAAATATTTAAATTCATTTTTATATAATTATCTAGGATGAATCAAGTTAGCTTATATACATCTGTATTATTTATTATAATATTTTTTTATATAATAGTTTTAGGATTCATATGATAGATTATTTTTGAGGTTATAGAAAATAGATTTATGTTTTAGAGTATAAGTTTATAATTTAGATTAATGATTCTGAGTTTTGGTTTTATTATTTGAATAAATTTATGTATACTTTTATAATTTAATTTAATATATTATTATATATATGTTGTATATAATTTTTATTAACTTATATATATATTTTCTAATGTAATATTGTGTTCTTATTATAATATTAGTTATATTAGTATTTATTTATTCTCATGGAATATATATAATTATTACATATTTTTATTTATAATTATTTATATTAATATTTGCTTATATATATAAATATTTTTAATATACTACTTTTATAATAATTGAAAAATATTAAATAATTTGCATTATTTACTATATTTTTATAATCCTATTTTTCTTAAATTTATGCAATTGTATGTGTTATTGAATTATTCCTGTAATTTAATTATAATATACATAAATACTTAATCTTATAAGATCAGCCAATTCTTTTTCGTCATCAATTTTAAACAATTATTCATTATTTATTTTTAATGTATTAATGTATTACTTTATATTATATATATTATGTACATTTATATATATATATAATATTTATTATGACAATAGTTTCAAGTGTGTTTACAAATTGAAATAATTAACGTTACCTGTAGTAAAACATAATAGTATTTAAGGTTTAGGTTCAGGATTCAGTCGGCTATTAGTCCAAAGTTTTTAGTTTTATTTATATACTTTGTTTTCTTCCGTTGAATGATTTTATTTAGGGTATTTATATATCCTTGTAGTACATTTTTTCTTAGATTTTTTCCTTATTTTTTTAATTATCAATTTTATAATTTACTTTACCAACATATATATATATTTCGTTCTTGTATTCCATTTGTCATTTCTATTTTTATTTTATTTTTTATTTTCTAATATCTAATATTACTTATAATGATAATTGATATATTTTTTTTTATTGATTATTTTGTTACAGAATATAGTTATGTGTAAAATTATCCCTTTCAATTTAATAATTATATGTATCATTCTTATATATGATATTATTTGTAATAAATAAGATTATGTTAAATCTGTGATTCTACAAATTATTTTATATATATTGTGATTAAATAGTACTTATATGTTGTATTATTAAATGATTTTTGGAATAATTAAAACATATAAACATTAAATCTATGTTAATATAAAGCTAGTGATATTATTAAATAATCAAACATCATGTACTTATATTTATAATATACACTAGATAAAATTTATAATGTTAGTTATAATGATTATATATATATTCTTTTTACTTTAAGCAAAGACCATATATTACATATACTATGCAAACGTAATAAAATTTAAAAATATATGCTTAATAATGCACTATAATATTAGTTTTAAATGATAACTATAAAAAAAAAATTCTCCATATAATCATTGTTTAATGTAGTCTAGTAAAAAAAACATATTATGTTTTTGATGAAATCAATTTAATGCTTATATAATATTAATTTATTATCAATCGATTATATTATTAAATTTCCATAATTTTGAAAATATGAAAAATACATTTGATCATATTATATATATATATGCATTATAATTATAAATACATAGTATGATACATTGTTAAAAAATATATAAGGGTATCCTTATGAATACTGCATATTATTAATATTCATATAATATACATGTTTATAACATTGAAATATGACCTATATATTCATTTAAATTTAGCAAAAATGAATGAAATAGGAATATAAAAGAAATTGATATGTCATTTATTCTTTAATTAGAAACTAAAAAAATAATTAT